CAGGCCCTGCCCAGCCCCGTGACTCACAGATGCCAGGCAGGACCGTGTCCTGGGACAGGACAGGTGAAGAGGGGGATGTGATTCTGCAACTGACCCAGCTGAAGTGAGAACTGCGGAGTCCCAGCTCACACCATGGCTCTGGTGCTCAAAACAGCCTGGGGCCACTTCCATGGACTTCACAAACCCCATTCCCGCCACCTGCGCCCTGACCTCTTGGCTCAGCCCATTGCTGCTCTGTGGCCACACTTGGTGCCCAGGAGTCCCCAGGACCTTGCATGCTGTTCTTTATAAATTGAGCAATTAGGTTGGGTAAGGAGTCAAATACCAGGCTTGGGGCTGGCATCATTAACAGGGGCTGCTCTCAACCGCCCCGCCTTGGAGTGATTCCTTCTTTTCATCAGCATTTTCCCTTGATCTCTGCTGAGTAAGGCTTGATGCTAATATTGCTCCTGAACTCGCTTCGAACCACCCCGACCTCCTTTCCAAATCCCCCTGGTGCCATCTTGTTTATGATTTCCGTAATCAATAAACATTTGTGGGAGGCTACTCTTTCCTATTCCCAGAGCCGCAGGCCGCGCTCACGAGCCCAGGCCCTCTTGCCTGCCCGACCAAGTGATTGCCTCAATGTGGGCCCCATAGCAACGAGACTGCAGCTGAGAGACTCCTTTTCAACTCGCACTTCTGCGGAAAGCCAAGTGCTATTAGCTAAATCACTGAACCTTTCACCTCAGCTCCTTCATCCAGTGTGTTCTCAGAAAGGAGGTCAGCATGATCCTTTCTAAACGTGACAAAGGCTGAAGGATACCAAAGCCCAGGTAAGCTCACGCTGGCCACAGCTTTTCAAGGTGCAGCCAGAAGTGGAAGCCACAGATGTCTCTGTGACGAGGCGGGGGCTGTGCTCGCGAGCTCTGTCAGTCACTGCAAACGGGGTCGTTAACAGGCAGCATGCCGGAAGTCAAGTCGAGTTGGGAATATGAACCTGGGGACCCTCCAGGTGGCTTCCTCCAATTCCAGGACACTCTCGGGGTCTCCTGCACGACTGCCCAGGCTCCGGTTCTCTGCGTCATCCCTGCCCTCTCCCTGTCCCCCTGGCGCGGCCACGCTGGCGTCCTCGCCACTCCGAGGACCTGATCTCTGGGCCGCTCCTCCCCACAGCCTCAGCGGTGGCTTCAAGTGCTGCCTCCCCCAGGACCCTCCCTCCATCACCACGCACCTCCTGGCCAGACACCGCTTCCTCGTGTCCCTGCCTGGCCACCTCTCCTGCGCACCCCGCCCAGCGCTGTCCTGTCTGCCCAGCGGCTGTGGTCTCCCCCAGGAGCAGGTACGCCCCGGAGCGGCTCAGTCCCTGCCATGCAGCACTGCACTGCCACCCCCAGAGATCAGGCGCGGCCCAGCTCCACGCCTGCCTTGGCTCCGCCTTCTTGTGCTGAGAACCATGAGGACGCAACACAGCGCTGTCTTGGCTCCGGGGATTTGCATCTGTATTTTTAAATACTCGAAAGTGGCCCGCTTTTTCATTTTCTTTCTCAGGTTGTCCTGAGGTCAGAGGGTTCACGGACTGTTGTCTCAAGACTGGGCTGGCAAAGCCTCAGCTCCTCAGTCACTCGTTACCCACCCCGTGCCCGGCACGCAGTATGGTCTCATGAATAGGACAAACAGGGACACAGAATTGCAACATGCAACACCCCCCGCCCCCCCAGAGAACATTTCAAACAGAGAAAGTACAGAGAAGGATGACATCGGTGGCAGCTTCGGTTTCATCAAAGTCAGAAAATCAAAAAACTGAAAAGGGGCCCAAGGTCCAGAGAGAGATTAAGAAGCCAGATAAGGACATTACAGAAGGAAAGAAAGCTGCAGGTCAATGTCCATGATAACTATAGAGGTGAATATTCTCAACAAAAATACTAACAAATCAAGTTCAGCTATACAAGGGGATAGTCATACTTCACACACAGGTGGGGTTTATTCCTGGGATGCAAGGGTGGTTTTACGCGATTCATGTGTTAACACTACATCAACAAAAGAAAAAAAGAAAGCAACGGACAAGATACAGCATAAAACACTAATGAGGGAACTAGAAAGACCCTCTCTCGGTCTCATAAAGGCCGTCTCACAAACCTGTAAGTAGTCTTTAACTGAACAATGAAAAACTGAAATCTTTCCCTTTAAGATCAGAAACAAGGCAAGGATGTTTATTGCCACATTATTTATGATAGCTAAGATTGAAAGAAAAGTCAGCTAAGGGCCCACTATAGAGGATAGCAAAGTTGTGGTATATCTACACCGTGGAATACTATTCAGCCTTGAGGAAAGATGAACTGCTGCGATTTACAGCAAAATGAGAAGAATGAAATAAGATACATTTGAGTAACATAAGGAAACAAAGTGGCTGAACCGATGAAGTAAAATAATTATCTCTGTGGCCAGGAGTCACAGATAAAACAACCGCCTAGTCCTAGAGCAAACTCCCAACTTTATTTTAAGAAGGTATCATAGCTAAGTGGAAGGAACGCCAAGGAAGCCTTTAACCAGAAGGTGCCAAGTTTGCACACTGCTGCAGAATTGAATGTTGGTAAGTTGGAAGTTGCTGGTAACTGGATGTGATGGGCATTGCTGCAGCAGCCGGCAATGGAGAAGTCGCTCGCTGCAGAGCCAGTGCGGGAGAAACCCTGGTGCTACGGCTCCTGAGAATGGCACCAGAACCCCGAGCGTCATGTCTTTCAGTGTTCCTCCAGCACCCTCTACTGGCAACCGTTAGCATTGTTCCTGTGACAGGAGAAATCTGTGAAGGGAGTGTCAAGAGCTGTGAAATATTTCCAAGATTTTATTCTTTCTGCAAATCATCGAGTTGACCTGCTGAGACCCTCTCCAGATGGGTGAGTTAGCACAATGTATCTTCGCCTTTTGCTTTCTCAGCCAATCACATGCTCCTTATATATACTATATGCCATCGTACCTGGTTTCTGGTAGCAGCAGGCACAGCCTCTGTCCTTCCATCTCTAGGAGTGGACGTGCCTCACTCCATGTTCCATACACAAACCAGATATCTGGAAGAATAGCCAGTATGTGCTTTCCATGAATAGAACCCCCAGCCTTCTGGCAAGAGGCAGAAACACCCGCACCTTCCTTTATGCTTCCTGTCTATCCGGGACGGGGGGATGAGGATGAGGGGAGGGAGAGACTTTGCAGAGGTCACCCCATGGGTCTACACCAGGAACAAAGGTGGGGAGTCCTATTACTTCCAGATGGGACCTTGGGGGTTATCCAGACCCTGAACAGCTCCCACTGCTGGGGGCATCTCCATGCCTTTCTTCCCAGGCCCCATCCCCCACCTCCACCTGCCCCCCACCCACTCACCCACTGCAGCCTCTCTAGAAGCCTGAGGACCTTACCTGTGTCCACCTGCCATGGGTCTGGCCCAGGCACCAGGTCTTGTCAGGTGTTCATGCAGGGGCTTACTTACACCTCTGTGAGATCTACCTCTCCCTTCGGAAAGGTCGAGTATGGTGGAGACTCAACTGGTGGCATTTCAGGTGCGACATTCAGCCAGCTGGGAAGTAGGTGGCTGAGTGTGGGGACGCAGTGGCCTGCGTCAGCCTCACCAGACCAGAGATGCTATGTAAGTGGCTTCAAGTCACACACCTGTGCTGGCCACCTGCGCAAGGCAGCCAGATTTGGGGCAGACATATTGTGGAAGCTGAATCTAAAAGGACAGGTTCCCCTCTCTTGCCCGCCCTAAATGTTTCCCAGTGACCTGTGATCTCGGGGACCAAGAGCCTAGTCCCACTGCCCCTCCCATATACCCAAAAGGCTCCCCTCCCTCCTGTGCCTTCAAAGGACCTCAAGAACCCAGAGACACACCAGCATGGGTGGCCGGCAGTTCTTTCCTTGGTTGACTGTATAATTGCTTGTGTGCTGCTTATTTTTTTTAATTAGAATAAGTATATGTTTATTAAAGATAACTTGAGAAAGGTATTTCGTTACAACGAAGAAAATAAAAACCAGCTATGTCTCTAGTTTCTCTTTGTAGATGGCTAGGAACAAAGGCGGCTTCTAGCAAATTCAGCTTCAAACGGGGTCAAGTCTGGCTTCTTTCACAATGTTAATTAGAGGGTACATCTCCTGTTCCACGAATGCAATAAACACCTGGAGGACCTTCACCCCCAAAACAGCCAGGGCCCTGGTCCGCACTTCAGCCAACCTGGAATACCCACCACATCTGTGTCTTCTCGCTGCCTTCCCTCCTGGGGGGAGGGCCAGAACACAGAATCCTACAGGCATCGTTTCTTCTCCCTCGTCACATTGTTTTTATTGTGTCTGTGTGGGTCCCTGCCAGTTAGGCCTTCGGCTGTCATTGCTTCTCATCTCCTGAAAGCATATCCGGCTTTGTCTCTTTTTGAGCCTCCTGGTTTTCACTGAATTGTAGACATTATGGCATGTCTTCCAGTTTGTCATTTACACGGCCGTGTAATATTCCTTAATGCCTCACTGGCCATGTAATATGACAGTCGCCCTGCCTGTGTATTCTGACAGGCACTTGGGTTGTTTGAGTTTTGCTCTTCGGAAGAACTCTACAACTCTCGGTGGTTGCACACGTGGGACTGCCTCTGGGGGTTAGAGCCTCTTTCTCTAGTCTCCAAGTCATCCACACCTGGCTCCTCCCTTGCCCCACCCCCGAACGACCCACCCACTTCCTCCAGTAACTCATCCCACCACCACCATCACCACGGAGTCAGCCTTCCGGCCAGAAAACTGCGCTTGCCGCTATAGGAGTCTGTAACACAAACCAAGCAAAGGTCAGACCTGCAACAGCCCCTCCCGGCTCTCCACAGGGCCCAGCACTGCCCGCCCCACTGCGGAGCCCAGATGTGCCTCCCTGCAATGGGTCTGGCCAGCTCTGCATGGGCAAAGCCAAAAGCCAGGCCAAGTCAGATGCGTCGCCTCTTCCAATCTCCTGATTATCGGGCCTCTGGTACATCTTGAGGCTCACCTTCTACAAAGTTTTCTGTTCAAAGAAAGCCAAGGGCCAAGAAGACTTGGTGATTTGAAACCAACAAAATCTAGACTACGGAAAGCAGGCCCTGGATATTAACAATGACCCTATACATGGGGGACTGGCGGGGGGGGGGGGGTCTGACCGTGTAGGCCTCTTTAACCAGTCCTCAGGGAAGCCGCTGCAGGCGGGACATTGGAGATGGGGCTGGAGAACCCGGGATGGCAATCGTGCAAGGTTGGGGGAGTGGGGAGACGCTGAGGCTCTGGGAAGATGCAGAATGATGTAGCGACTAGGCTGTGTGAGGCCCAGAGAGTGGGGCAGGACCCCAGGACCTGCCAGAGGAGGTGGAGGGCCAGCTGGGTCAGTGCCTAGGTTCAGGCTTCATCTGAGGGCACAGAAAAGTTCTGGGAGGGGGAGCGCAGGACTGACAAGCTTTGACTTGCACCTGTGAAAGATTTCTGGCTGCTGGGTGAGAAGAAGATTGAGGATGAGAAGTTAAGCAAGGAGAGCAGTTGCTGGGGGTGGGAGTCTGGGGGCCTGGGTAAGAGAAGATGGCATCTTGGGTGAAGGCAGGCGGGCAGAGCCCTGGGAAAGGGCTGCTGGGGGGAGGCTGGGAGCAGCCAGAGCTGTGAGGAGAGAGAAGTCAGTACCCCACTGTCATCTCTGCCTTCACCTTGACCCAGAGCGCAGCCAAGGACTCTTCCTTGTCAATGGGCAGGCGGCCTGCTGGCCTGAGCCCAAGGCCCGAGCTGGCTCCCTGCACAAACCTCCCACTGCAGAGCCCTTTGAGTGACTCCATGGAGGCTCTCAGGGGACGTAGCTGAGATGTGCGTGTAGATGAGACTCCTCTTTCCAAAGCCACAGGGAGCACCTCACCCAGGCTGCCCATCATCCTGCCCCCGCCATGGTAGGACATGATGCCCTCCGAGGGCCCACAGGACACAGCCTTGGGCTGGAACAGACACCCAGGATGGTCCCAAAACACAGCTAGGTAACCACAACTCTGGAGTCCTCCATTACGCTCAGGGTGTCATGTGCAAATTTGGGCATGAAGCAAGCACCAACTTCTCAAGTAGATTCCCCTGAGAGAAGCAGGCAACACAGACCCTGAGGGAGGGTAAGAGGTATCCGGTTAAGATGTATGTGGCTGGACGACCACTCTGGCCACACATAATTGCTCAAAGTTTTGATTGATTGATTGATTGATTGATTGCAGTTTCTCATCTCTCAGTAGTGTTTTCAGGCTTTTCCTCCCAAAAGTTCCAGGTTGGCTACTAGTATGAGGTCACCCGCATACACCCTGAATGGCTGGAGGTCATTGGGCTGGCCAAGGCAGCCGGCTACCAAGCCCACTCTGTCCAGCAGCCCAGCCAGAGATACCAAGGGTGGCCTAGGACCTCATCAACATTCACCACTGTCCCTAGGCAATCTGAGTTCTGACCAATCCTTCCGTATTTGTGTTGGACGGAAAAGAGTAAGGGAATCAGTTGGTGAGTCTGCCAGAGGTCTCAGGAAGAGGCAACCTTGGCACAAGGGCTACCTGTGTGCCAGGTGGGAAATGTGTATAAATATATATATGACACTGAAAACAAATCCTGACCGAAAGAAAGTGAGACTTGACCTACTAGTGAATATATTTTTCAAAAATTCCAAGCAAATTCCAAATGGAATCTAAAACCACATTGCAATAATTACTTATCATGACCATGGAGGATTTATTTCAGATATATTAGGGTTATTTGTCATTAGGGAATCTATTAATAGAATGCATCATATTAACAGATCCAAAGAGAGAATTCATGAATGACATTTAATAGAACTCAACACCCATTTTCCACTAAAGTCAATAAAAAGAAGCCAGTGAATACTTTCTTAAAGGTGGAAGGGGCAGGGATACTAGACATATTATCTACAAAATTAAGAACAAGACAGGGAGGTCCATTACCACCCTACTACTTAATGTTGCATTGAAAGTATTATCCTAGGCAATTTAAAAAGAATTTAAAAACTAGAAATAGGAACATTGGAATGAACGAGATAAAAATGATCATTTTGCAAAGATGTGGTACATATATACAA